GGGGGCCAAGCTCCAAGATTTCTCTCCAGCGATTGTACCAGAGCAGGTCGCCAGGGAACACCCAGTTCTTGCTGTACGGAACCTCACCACCGAAATGAGTGAAGAACCAACCCGATGCAGCTATATTAGGTCAGCCACGGTCCGCCAAAATCAGATTTTGACTTACGAGCAAGGTAGGGTTTACCACCCAGTGCATCAATATAAGCCTGATCCCCATCAGCAACCGTCACATTTGCCCCCGGCTTAGGCGCCTTGTTGTTGCCATCATTATCCCAGGCCATCCAGTTCAGTGCACTATCGACATCGTCAAAGTTGCCCTGACCTGGGTGATAGTTGGGCGCCCAGAAGATGTCAGTACCAGCGCTGGACTCAATTTGCGCTACATCGATTCCATCCCCCGCGAATGAGGAGACAAAAACTTTGTCGTCAACAATAAGTTGCGCGGACTCGCCAGCGTACTGCGCAATCTTTTGGCCAACAGCGGCGGCCTGGTCAACGTGATACCAGTTGAAGTCAAACGAGATGAAGACTTTCATGTCGTTGTCTGCGGCAGACTTATAGGCGTATTGCAGCTGAGTATCGGTGTATGGATCGACACCAATGTTCAGAGCGAAAGCGTCAATCCCTAACTCCTTGGCCCGGATCATGTCATCGTTGTAGTCGGCAGAGCTCTGCCGGTTGCTTGAAATGCCAATCTACAACATTAGCATCCTGCTGCAGGTCTAAGCAGTTGGTTTCCACTCACCATGAAATGACAAAAGACCAGTCTATCGGTGCTCGTTTCGTTGGCTCTAGCCACGCTCTTGTGCTCTTTTGTTGGAAATGCTGTGGCGCCGGCCACAAGGGCCATAAGGAGCGATTTCATATACATTGCTTAGGTCTGTCAGACACCAAACACAAAATAGGCAGGCAAACTCAAGTACCAATGCAGTGATGAGAAGACTCAATAAGGGAGGGACCAAGTGGGAGAGGTAAGTATAACTCTATGAAGGAATCCTGGCCCTCAAGTCACGAAACGTCAGCAACGAGATTCCAATTGAGACTTGCAATAGTGAAACAGAACATGGGAAGCCATCTCCTTACCTTTGACTCTAATGACTCGACTCAAAGGTCCTGATTTCCTTCTCCATTGCCCCAGCCTCAGCCCTCTTATATACCCATCCCCATTCCCTCAGAGCCACCACCATCACAACCACAGCATCAAACAATTATCTCATAGCATTCGCACATATTCATCACAAGACGCGAAAGAACTCCCGCAAAAAAACGCGAGCAACGCCGAAATTCTCGTCCCGGTTGCCCTACAATCTCCGCATCCGGGAAAGGTGTCGATCCATCCTCCAAAGGGAAGAGAGGCTCTCTGCGTCCGTCCAACGTCGCCAGTCAAGCGACGGAGTCATATGCGATCGACGCATTTCATCAGCGAGTAAAACTAGCGATTGGGCTACACATACTCCATTGTAAGTGATCTGCGTTTATATTTGGGGGGGTGTCGAGCTGGGATTGTTGCTCTTGATGCCCGCCTGGGCTATGTATGACCTCAGCGTACAGGAATCCGGGGTATGCGTGCGGAGGCATACTTTGGGGAATTGACAAGCGAGGTTTCATATTGGGTGGTATTATCCGGTTTAGGGTTCATTGCTCGACTGGTGTATGGAGTTGGATGTCTCCGCACTTCCACGTACTCCTATCACATACTCCAGTGGCGTTACCCTCGGTTCTATACCCTGGGATAAACGCCTCGACGTCGATCCCAATACACTTTACATAACGTTTCAAGGTCACCTCCATACAGAACTGAGCTTCTCATGGAAAATTCTTCCATCACAATTTCAACGGGGCCCAACCGATCGATGCAACCCTACCTACGAACACCGCGCACAGCATCACACCGCATACACGTCCATCTCCGCGCATCGCGATTACAAATGCAACTAGCCACCTAGATACTCACCAATTCATTCAACTCTCCTAGACCCATACAGAGACAGACATACATACGCACCATAACTCAATCGCGCACACAGCAGCCACGCGCCCGATCACCAGACTCTCGGAGAATAGCCCAACCTCTCAATGCTTATGCTTTTGCAGGGGTTACCCTTGCTCGCGACGGTTGAAGAGACGCAAGACATGGGAGTTGGAGATCTCTCGGCATTGTGTACTACTTAGAGATGTACGTGGTAAGGTTTCAGCTTTTCTGGGGGAACTAGGATTCGCATCTTTTGCTTATTGAATCACAATCAGTCAAAGACAAGCCATGCTGTTAGTTGCACTCGTATGGAGGATATATCGAATGTGGCGAAGACCACCTTAGCGGATATTAGAGAATAGAAGAGAAACAAGCACGGTGTTCCACCAACTCCGCCGCCGCTTTGTTTATTCTCCAGCACACTAAGCGTTGTGTAACGACGAGCCGGCATACTAGGCTCCCATAAGGTGGCCATGTGATGAGGCAGGCGAGTCCTTGTTCCAACTTCTGCTAACCATTGGCTTGCACATGAGACCTTTTCTCCCTTTGCTTTCCAAGGCTATTCGCTTCGAGCCGGTGAGAAAGGGTGCTCGAGCCAGTCTCGCTTCTGAGTCACCGTTCGGCAGCCTTCTCTAACCGGGGCGTCATGTGTAAAAAGGTCTCATATGCGGTTGGCGGAGGGGCTCCTTGAAAGTGCTCCAGATTGTAAGGTATGAAACAGGATGATTTTGATAAGTTGTTGCCGAATCCGTGAAATATCATGATCATTGTTCATTGTTCTTACTGGCTTTGTTGCCTTTATCACCAGAGCCGGCTTCCAAGTTTTTAGCCTATCTGTTATTATTCATTCTGACCGTGAAGCTTCTAACAACATTAACCAACAGATGATGTGACTACCAATACGTCTGGGGCATAATACAGAGTATCTTGCACTCCCCTCCGGCACCATCAACAGCGCTTTCAGTACAGACACAACACTTAAGAGGCAGGCATGTACGGAATTGCGGAGGCAAGAGTATAGACCCTGGCCGTCTTTAGGACTGTTGACTTCTACTAATCACATGGACTGAGAAGCTCTCTGCCGAGACTGGGCTTGGTCCTGGTTCTGTATGGGCACGTTAGTGATAAGCCTAGGGACTAACAAGAATTGCAAGTAGCTAAGATGATTTCGGTGTCCAAGTCTAGGTGTTTAAACGTTTTCGCTGGATGCGACTGCGCAAGCGAGAATTAAGGAGTATGTGCGAGAGTAGGGAAGGCAGCCGGATAGGGCTGCTCAAAGTTAGTGGAATTATTAGACTTAGTGTTTTGGGGGTGGGGGGGGGGGGAAGGGGTTAGAGATTCGAAGAGGAATTGTATGGAGAAGATGACAATGAAGGTCTTGCATTCGGGAAAAATAGAGTAATTCAACGGCTATCCTGGAGCAGATAGTCAATTTGATTTAGTAGATGTATGGACTATCCAGTGAACCGTGCATTCAATCTAATTGAACCAGAAAAGTTGTTTCCATAAGATGAGTGACCAGTATTCATTTATGAATGCCAATGGCCTTGTACTACAGCACGGCAAATGCAGAGACGTAGCTCACCGAACTATCAGATACATCCGTGATGTCCGCGCTGCGCTCGTACCGAGCGAAGTGGAATTTGCCCGTTCCTCCTTCTTGCTTACCGGTTTTCTCGATGGCCGCCATGATAACGCCGATAGGATGACGGCCGCAGACTGTATTTCCAGTCGTCTCAAGAGACTCAGCAAAGCTCGATGTCCTTCCAGTGGCTATCGCCGCCATAGTAGCGATGTCAAACGTGGAGATGCTCTCATGGATTGTCGGCTGCTGGCTATGTATGCGATCTCGTCGCTGCATATGATGCCCTGCAATGGCGGACTCGATCTTGGCCTCTATGTCGCTGTCACCTGGTTGTGGTAGGGCATCCGATGATAACGGCAGCCTTGGTCCGGGCTTAGGTGCCTCGGGAAGATAATATGTATAGCGGAAGCGCAGACCCCAGTGGCAAAAGTCGGAGCTAATGACAAATGCATTCGTCGGGTCTTCCAAGTATGGAGCCAGCAAAGCGCCAAATGCACTTTCGGTCGTTGTAGACGTGTTGCCCACCAAGATGGGCACTAGCGGGGGGTACTCTGCCGTCGGCTTGTCTGGATGTTGGAGTTGCAGCAGACGGTGGATGTACGGGAGGTGAAGCTCAATGCTGTGTTCGTCTTCATCCACAGATCGGGTCATCTCCTCGAAGTTGACGGTTGATCCGTTGGGCTTAACAGCGGAACTGGACCGGAATTTGGCGATAAGGTCAGTATCGAGCGGGAGGGGATCGTCAGATAACGGCGTATAGTAGCCCTTCAGCCGCGGAAGCGCGAGGCTCGTGAAATAATGGTGGTGCGACGGTCCGAGGACGAATATACGTTTCCTATAGAGAAGCACGGGTGAGTTGACGAAATATTGTCCAGGCAGGCGAGATGGGCAGCACTTACGCCTTTGACAAGTCCAGGGCCTTGTAGGCATAGGCGGCACAAGCTCCAGAGTACCTATATCCTGCATGGCTAGAGCTCCAAGTCAGTAGCTAAGCGAACAATAAAGCTAGGCTCAATATACGGAGCTATGATAACTCGTGCGCCAGGGACAGGCAGTGAGCCCACTCCTTCAATGGCATCAGGGACTTGAGCCAGCCATTGATCGAGCTGGCGTGTAAGGGCGCCGCGATCATCCGAGTACCAGGAACCGGAGTGGGATGCTGCTCTGTAAGCCATTCTTCCGTTGCTCTCTGACAACTGTTTGACAATCTTATCGAGGGAAAGCAATGGAGTTGATGGATCGTGGGGAGGTTGATGGTTGTTGTTCAATGTTGAATGAGGGGTAAGAAGCGGGGAAGATAAAGTCGAAGCTCCGAGTCTCCGAGAAACTCGTCATGGACTCATGGAACATATGTTGGTCAAACGGAGTAACGAGCAATAATAACGGGAAGAATACATGGAAGAAAAGAACCATGCATGACTAGCCCAAAAAATTATGATAGAACGACCGAGACGGGACTCGAACCCGCAGTTTTCAGAGACTGAGAGGATAACCTCGCCGAAATCTGACGCCTTACCATTAGGCCACCCGGCCTCATTCAATAAAAGACGCATAAATTTTCATGCTATATTTGACAGTTAATGCTTTGAGAACTAATGCAGAACAGAGACTCAGCAACAAAGTTAATAACTTTATCGCAGCGATTCATATGTCAGACTTTGGATTTAGTGCCTAGAGAGCTCTGTTGGTACGTTTTTGTGGTACCATCAATTGCCGGTGGTTCCATTGTTGGGAGATACTCTACCTACGCACCTACCAAACGCTTCCAGTACCACCAACACAAAACCACAGCGAGCTATACCACTTATTGGACTACACGAAGTCACCAGGGGCTGTCTTGAATACGCAATTTATGGCTGGAAAGATCACAATATAGAGTTTCTGTCGCCTTGAGAGCTTTCGTAAAAAAGCCAGTGGAACCACCAGACGCGTTGTCCCAATGGTCCATCACACACATTGCGTTGGGAGGCCCTATTTCTCAAAATACTGCCAATTACCCCTGGACAATCCTGACCCTAATAATGCCCAAGCTGTGAGAGGCAGTATCCTTCAAGACATTATTAGGAATCATCAGCACTACAGCGGCTTTCCGGTCTTCCATCTAAGAGCCCAGCACATTCACTATCTTGAGGGTATTGTGTGCTAGTGCTTGAAGAATCAACAGGGACAGGACAATCTGAGTCAGAAAGACCTATGTTCGTGGCAGATATTGCGGTTTATCTTCTCCTTAGATGATTACCCGCGAGAGTTGACCCAAAGGATCCCAAGGAGAAACAGCAGATGTCAAAGGGAAGCAGTGATCAAATAAGCTGCGATGGAGGCATACAACTAGAAGCGCTGGAAGGAAATAGGGATGCATCCACTCTTGAAACACATCAACTTCTTCAAAATATGGACCATGAGCGCACTACCACTCCTTACGAAGCAACCTACCTCAAGCGTTGCCTGCAAAGGTATTTCAAAAAGGATGATAAGACACATATCCGCACGGCTGTACTGCCTAACATTGGTGTCGTGGATTATAGAGATATCCTCATCCACATCCTTGCGCATGCTGAACAAATCGCGGTATTTGTGGACTTGATGCAAGAGCTTGGACAATGTAATACCCAGGCAATGCTGATGGATGGGCTAAGTCCAGTCGCCAAATTTATCTGCAGAGATGGCCTCTTTGACTATGAGAAGTAGGTTGAACTCCATCTTTAGCTTGTCCTAAACGGCTATTATGTCTATTAGCGATTATTTTGACAATTTTAGAGTATCTTGAAAATCTGCCCAGGGGCAAAGGACCCAACAGAATCAGCGCTTCCGAGGTTGTATGCCCATGTGCTCTTATACTCTTACTTGCGACTAATCCAGCAGTGTTCTAGCTCTATATAGGGCAAAGCATCCGCCTGACCTTAAATATTGAGTTAAGCATCACAAGCGAAGGCACCAGAGCTCGCATATTATTTAAACTACTTTATGTGGAATTGAAGGCACGCAGCAAGTCAATTCAACTTCTATGGCACTGCTCGTCTTAGGGCATTATGATGATAACAAAATCGACGCCCACAAGCAGCAGCCTATCCTGAGCCTGGCGGAGATGTTGCTGTGTTGTATCTTCTAGACACTGACAGCGGCTCTATTAGACACCTATCTACCACCAACTATCAAAAAGCTCTGGGTAGGACATTATCTGAATGTCGTCCTCCCGCTTTACCAGTCATCTTCACCAGCCAGCAAACTGAACAAGTCCATGATGGGAGAAAGGGGCGGTTTTCACGGACTTTCTTACTTCTCCAGATCCACAAGTCTGAGAGTGGGTGAAGAGCCTACAAGGTGCATTTAACAGCATTTGAGACTCGCAAGACCCTGGTCTCCAGGAATACTGCTGTCGGCAAAACAGTGTCTCGCGATCAAAGGCTACCGGGGCTTTTCAGCTGGCAAGTGTGGATAATATGCAGTCAGTTCTTCATGGCAAGGACCACGCTGTCAGTGTTGTTAGTGAGGAGCGCGATTTTGACAACAGCATATATGAGTGCATTTCGGTGATCTTCAACTGTGGGTTATGTGTTTAGCATTCCTGTCTCTTTCGAGCCGGCGAGGGTGCCAATAAACAGTTCATGATATGGCTAGTTACAAAGCAGCGCAAGAGCTCCAAGCGCGTCAAACGGATCAATACGCAGGTCGATATCTTGGACGGATACACGTATGGTCAAAGGCGGGCAATGTCCCTTCCAAGACGCTGGTATGTCTAGGGAACTAAGCATTACTACACATAGCCATATAAGCATCAAGTGGGAGGCTTCAACGACACACCAGCGGGATGCCTCCTAAATACCCATAAGGCTCTTATAAGACATCAGATATTTGACATTTTTCCACTGTGAGTGTTTTAGGAGCCTGATGGAAGCCCAGGGATTTGTGACCCCGGTAACCGGGCAGCAACATTATGAAACCGTGCAGCCATCAAAAATCTACGTGGGATGTATTAGGTCTATGCTGCCTAAATAGCCCCCCTGATTCCATTGCTGTGTTGAGTTCTATCCCACATTTGTACTAGAGCTCTTAGGTATCTCTTCGTAAAGAAAATATGGCTGGCACTCACCACTGGCGGCCTATATATCCCCACACGGGTAACTTGAATCCTTCTCTTGAATCTATACAAACCATCAACTCCACATAAACCACAACTTAAATCAATTCCGGATCTCTTAAGGCAATGCAGGCCAAAATTAATTATCATGCAATTCATCCAATTTTCAATGTAGAGGCCTCCAGGTTTGGGGGCCTATTAAACCGGATGCGGAATAGCGCACATTTTTTGTGTACTGCAAAGAACGCCAGACGCGCGTGGGGATTCCTCCTCACGCGTTGACCAAATTCGCCCTCCAACCACACCAAGAGGGGTTTATGTTTTCAAATCCTTGCTTCTTTACCTACACGAAAATTCCCTCTTGGATAATTGCTTGTCATATCTATTGCATTTACCACTCTTAAATACCTAATTCACTCAATTGATCCACCATGTCGCTCAAGCGCAAAGCTTCATTCCCAACCGTCGCATCGCCTCAGCCGACCCAGGCCGGCATCGACCGACGGTTCATGGATGACAGTCCAAAACATCTCCATTGCCGGACACGGAAGCGTGTAAGAAATGATCGCCCCAGCGAACAGACGGTATATGGTAGGATTGCCCTGGCATTGAAGGCGCCCAGTCTTCGTAAATAGCGCAAAATTGCTGACAGGAAACAGAGAATACTCTGCGCTGGCTGTACACAGCGCAACAGCGGGTGCAGCAGACGCCCACGCCCCCTGCAGATCGAAACGAGGACATGGAACCGGAATTGCCGACTGCCATCGACGCTCGTCAACAATCCCTACTTCAATTCTTTCGCCCTGTGCAACCCTATCATCCTCCCTGCCCTTCCACACCAACCAGTCAATCCGCTAGCGGTCCCTCACGAGATATGACCAACACACTGCAAGGCCGCAGCATGACGGTTGCCTCGCCGTCCACAACGAGACTTAACGGCACGGTGTCACCGGCTTCTCAAACGGATGACCATGGTATAAACATGGATATCCTCTCAGGCAATGACGAATCAGCCGAGGACCCCGGGCAATGGGTTGGGACCCTGGGATGGATGTGATGCACTGGCTTGGGGACAACCAAGTCCAAAGCGATTCGCTTGTTGTCATACTTGCTTTTATACCCTGGTCCCCCGGATTCGGACCCCATTTTTTGCTTTTTGTCTTGATTTTCCTCACAAGCGTTCCGATAAGTCCATGATTGCGGGCGATCATGATCTCGCACTGAACCCTGTTATTCGGCTTGTTTGCTTGTTTCATAGCGTTTCCATTTAGAGTTAATATTCCTGCGGCGTTGGGACTATCATGACCGCGGGCCTACGGTCTCCAGCCGACATTCTTGTGCATGTCAAGCGTCCAAATGACGTTGGGCTTTGTCTGAACCCTCTGAACAAGAAGGTTATCGAGTGTTCCCGTCGTGGACCCAGTACAGCTGGCGACCAGACATGAAATGAACATGATGGTCAATTGAAGTAGTGTACTGTGTACGTGATCAACTGACTCAGCGGGAGGACGATGCTTGAGCAATGAGAATTTGGATAGACACAGTTGTGGAGAAGAGAGACTCAGGGTTAATCTGAGTATTTCACCGTAGAATCCCAAATAAATAGGTGGGAAAACGATTGAGCTGCCTCCAAGTACTGCATCACTATTTCGAGCTCCAAGTTTTGCCTTCCTTTCTTATCTGAAGTAGGTTTCCGTGAATAATTCATGCGGGGATTTATGCAGCTTACGGGAGCTTTCTGCCTGATTAACTAGGCGACCAGTCAACATCAAAATCCCGACACAGCTTCAGCAGCAACATCCAATTTGCACGATCAACAAACCTGGCAATCAACCGCGATCCCACCAACGACGTTAGAGCAGGACCCTCGCCATCGGGAATCAGCTTTGTCCCTCTGCAGACAACGGAACGACACCTGGCGAGCCAGCCAGCGCAGAACAATTTAGAACTCCTATTCCTGTTCCTTGCCTGGCATCAGCTCACTCAGCCCGAGGCGCCCGGTTGCGATACCCATCAAGCTCACGCATCGATTGGAAGAGAAGTATGGATGACAACCAGGCTGTTCAATATTTGGAATCGCTGATCGGCCAAACGCTACGTGTGCACGCAACCGACACTCGCATTTTCGTGGGCGTCTTCAAGTGCACGGACGCCGTAAGTCAAGTCTCGAGTTAAAGTGCCATTGCTCTGCATGGAGGTGCAATGAAATATGCTTCAGAGCTGAGAATTATGTTAGCTGATTCGTCCATCGTCCTCCAGGCTCGGAATGTCATTCTCGCCAACACCTTCGAATATCGTTATCCAACAACAACGGCCGTTCGAGATGCAGCCCTGCACTTGACAACTGAGAGCTTGGAGGAGACGCAGAACCTAAAATTAAATATGACCAGTCGATTTATTGGTCTTGTGGTGGTGCCGGGTCAACACATCACGAGAATCGAGTTGGAGGAGACCC